TTATCAGTTGAGCTGGTTGGGGCATGTGCTGCGTATGCCTAACCACCGACTGCCTCGACGATCTATGTTTTGTGGTGTAGGAGTAGATTGGAAGAAAGTTAGAGGCGGCCAAACCAAAACATGGCAGAAATGCATGAAGTCACTGACAAGTGGACTTAGTCATGTTGGTAGATGTAGACTACCTGGTTGGGGTCCGCGAGACGAAAGTCATCAATGGTTATAGACCTTGAACGACATGGCTCAAAATCGCTTGCGATGGCGCAGGTGCATCCAATCTTTTTTCTCCCGCCAAATTCTACTCTTCTGAATTCCTCATCACCTCTATCTTTCTAAATTTATCTCACTGAATAATACTTCTTGAATAACATCTTCGAACCCTAATCTTCTCCATTACTGATAATACTGCTACCACCTCTACTACTATGTCATTTGAATAAACAATTGCGTCACTATGCCATTGTAGCATGGCAACCTGAAATTATGTACTTACGTACACAGTTCAACGTTGTAGCTGACTGGATACCAATATGCATCACTAATGGCTGGCCATCTAGTTAGGATCTGTATGATAATCGTATGCGCAGTGGTTAGAGACTTTGAATGATATAATTCAAAATCGTCTGCACGTGCACACATTCTTTGTCTTCGCCTTAATTTTAAGCTACTGAATTCCTCATAAATTTTCTTCACTGATTTATGTTTTCTTGAATCTTATCTTCCAACCAATAGACTTTTATATCACCACTGATATTGTTATTACCTCCAGTAATAATAAGGTACCTCCAGTCCCGACCGTAGCTGCTACCTTGACGTGGTGGTCGGGCTTGCCTATCGTGATGACCCAACCGAGCTATACTGGCTGGAACATATGTTCCTCAAGGTTCTACCATGCCAGGCAGGTCGATTGGAGAACGATGAGACTAAAAGCAGCTACCCAAGGTCTGAGGGCGAAGTCGTACTGCTGACTGCAGAAGGGTGTGACAGCAGTAAGGTGTTTCCCTCGGACAACAAGCATCTGCAGCGATGCTGCCTTCTCACAAGGAAGGAAGGGTTAGAAAAGTTCGACCCTAAAAATGTCACACCTCCCCTAACTCACGGATTTCCGTCTCCTTGGGTAAGGGTGCCCACTAAGGGCCTTTCAGAACGGAGCTAATCCTCAAAAAACATTTCATAAAAAGGCCGTGCATGACCGGCCTCAAGCAGTTGTCCCTTGGGCTCTGCGGTCACGCACCAACACTAATCTATCTTCCTTTTCAGGTTCCTCAAGAAACAACCTTCCACGGTGTGGGCAGCCGGGAAGTGACAACCGCCCTCATACCCATAACAGCACGCGAGACCGAATTGGTCAAAATCAAATCCTTCCTACACCCCTTAGTACCTCTCTTATCTCCACGACTGACTGACCTCCAGTACACTGTGATTTAAACTGACAATTCCATCTCTCTGTGCTAATGTGTTATGGCTAGTGGAACTGTGATAATACGCCAGTTTATTTTGGAATATAGTAACGCTAACTCCTTGAAGCAAAATCATACCATTGAAATTGAATTTTTAACTCTAGTCAAATTACTTTTACCTCGTTATGTTTATTTAAACTGTTATTGAACAGAAGAAAACAAAACATGCTAATATTTTGTAGACATAACACAAAAGCTAGATAATGAAATCAAACAAAGGACAAGAAAATTCAGAAAAAAATCCCTTGTTATATAATGTGCAGTTCGAATAAACTGACAGTCAAAACAGATATGATTCAGTATCAGTTATATGGAGACTACTGGGGTATGAGGGCGAATGTTACTTCCCGGCTGCCCACATTGTGGAAGGGCTCTGGTTGTCAATCAGAAACGACATTGACCTCGTAACTTCCGGGGGGAACTCGGCTTCGATTATGAGGCGTCATCATTCTACTAAATGAGGAGGATCGTCTAATTCCTAGAGTAGAATTTAAATGGTTTGTAACGAATTCGTTTTCTGCACGATAGGATCGCTAACCGTAATGGGACCAGCAGCAACAGCAGCAGCTTGAGAGTGCCTCCAGTTGGATTTTGATGGAGACCACTAGTGTCGATAAAAACCATCAGTTTACTTCTATAATAGTCAGTCAGTCAGTCAGTCAGATGCAACGTAGAACTTCGTACATAAGTACATCAGTTCATGTTGCCATACCACATCAGCACAGAGAAGTAATCGTCAATTCAAATCCAATAGTAGAAGAGGTAGTAAGGGAAATAGAAATAATCGGAGAGGTTAGGATTAGAAAATACTATTCAAGAAGTATGATTCAGTGAGAAAAGTTTAGAAAGTCAAAAGTAGAGGTGTTGAAGAATCCAGAAGATTAGCATTTGAGAGAACACAAAGAATAAATGCACTGGCGCCATTGCGAACGATTTTGAGCCATGTCATTCAAGGTCTCTAACCATCGATTACTAACATCTCGCGGACCCCAACCAGGTAGTCGACAATTACCGACATGGCTCAGTCCACTCGTCAATGACTTCATGGATTTCTGCCATGTTTTGGTTTGGCCGCCCCTAACTTTCTTCCAATCTACTCCTACACCACAAAACATAGCTCTTCGAGGCAGTCGGTGGTTGGGCATACGCAACACACGTCCCAACCACCTCAACTGATGAAGTTTCATTACTTCATCTATTGATCTGCCATTCTTACCTAGTACCCGATTCCTAATAACTGCGTTACTCACTCGGGTGTCCCAGGATATACGAGCAATGCTTCGAAGACACCTATGATCGAAAACCAGTAACCTACGAATATCTTCTACTCTCACTGGCCATGTTTCACAGCCATAAAGTAAGACGGAGCGAACCACTGCGCAGTACACTCGTCCTTTAGTCAGCAAACGGATATCTCGCCTACGCCTATTATAACTAAATTAATTTTCATTTCAAAAAAAATTCTTGTGAAAACGTTTTAAATTCAAGAGAAAAAAAATAACCGCCCTCATTTTTTTTGTTTTAATTTTAGTTGTTAAATGTATCATTATAGCTAGTCCTGGATTTTTACGTGAACAATTTTTTGAATTTCTGATACAAACAGCAATTAAACAAGAGAAACGTGTATTTTTAGAAAATAAATCCAAATTTATGCTTGTTCATTCATCATCCGGTCATAAACATGCATTGAAAGAAGTACTCACTGATAATGTTGTTATGAGTAAATTAGTCAATACTAAGGCAACTTTAGAGGTGACTGCATTGAATGATTTTTATCAAATGCTTAAAACTGATCAATCACGTGCATTCTATGGGTAAGTTGATTATTATTATTATTATTACTCTATTCCTTTTTTCATCGTCAGCGAATTATAAATAACATAGGAGAAGAGCACTCTAGTATCAATGCATCTCACATCATCATGTATCACTAGAATTGAAGGTGTTTCTTACTTTACTTACTTATTTATTGAAGCCTGTTATCCACAATGAAGCATTAGACCCCTTCCTGACCAGCATTCTCCAACCTACTCTCTCCTCCTGTGCTTAATCTTTCTAGTTCCGTCCAACTGTTGTTTTACTCTTCTCATGTCTGTCTCCGATTGTGTAATGTGTTCCGTTGCCTTCCTATTTTTTCGGTAGCCTTGAGGATTCCAAGTTAAGGCTTGTCTTGTGATGCAGGTATGACACAAAATATGTAATCCTATCGACCTCCATTGCTTGCTGATTTCCTCCTCTGCTGGAATCTGGTTTGTTTTGCTCCCACAGTTGGTTGTTGCGGATAGATTGGGACAATCAGTGATTGAGACCAGTCGGATGGGATTGCGTCCAGTTCCCAGATTCTACCTAAGATCTTAGTCAACCTAGCTGCTAAAACTGGACCACCATCCTTAAATATCTCAGGGGTCAGTCTATCAGGACCTGCAGCTCGACCTCGCTTCAGATTTCCTAACGCTTTTTCAACTTCATTAAGACTAGGGGGACTTACGTCGATTTGCTGATGTGGTATGGCGACATGAACTGATGTACTTACGTACGAAGTTCTACGTTGCATCTGACTGACTGACTGACTGTTGCTGATAGTGTCTGGCCAACGGATGAGGAGTATCTTTTTTGTAGACAACCGTTAATAAACACCTGTATCTTGTGAATGATAGCTTTGGTAGTTCTCCAAGTTTCCACTCCATACAGTAAAATTGTTTTGACATTTGAATTGAAAATTCTGATTTTTAGTGTTGACTGATAGTTGTTATAAGTTGTCGATGTTCACCAATTGTAGAAATACTAGCCTTGCTTTGCTAATCCCCATGTCTTTACATCGGCATCAGATCCGCCTTATCAATGATACTGCCTAGATTTGTGTTAGGATATTCATCCAATATCCTAAGATAATTATAGGTCGATTCCTAGATATCAATGTCACGTGCTCCGATGTTGTTTCTTATTGGTCATCCTGAATTTGAATGTCACTTCAATTGTTGTTTCTTACTCGTCGTCTTAACTGCCAATGTCACAGACTTCGTTACTGTTTCCTATTCAACCTAAATACGCATTATATGTAACGTTTTATGACCAGGACCAGGACCAAGACCCAGTCACGGATCCCTAGTCCGGGATCCTGATTCTGTTTTGGACTCGGACTTCGTACTATCTAAATGCTTGTAGAATACAGGATTCTACTTCATATCGCGTCTTCTTATTTTTACACAATATGGGGGGGGGGTTGAGATAATCGGATTTGAGTAGCTTGTTGTGTCGCCGGATCCTCGCTCTCGTTTTTTTTCGATAAGGTAAACTCGTAATAGTTCAAGCATCTATCAAAATGACGTGTTTACGTGCAGGCGTAACAATTTGTAAAGCTTTCTACATCCTCCAAATCTTCTTCGTCAAATGTGATCTGGTTGGTGCCTGTTGTGTAGTGTATTGTAAGATTTTGCTTCTTTCTTTGTGTATGGTGAGGGCGAAGTCGTACTGCTGACTGTGATGGAGGGGTGTGACAGCAGTAAGGTGTTTCCCTCGGACAACCAGCATCTGCAGCGATGCTGCCTTAGAAAAGGTTGACCCTAAAAATGTCACACCTCACCCTACCTCACGGATTTCCGTCTCCTTGGGTAAGGTTGCCCACTAAGGGCCTTTAAGAGCGGAGCTAATACACAAAAAACCCTTAACAAAATGGCCGTGCGTGACCGGCCTCAAGCAGTTGTCCCATGGACTCTGCAGTCACGCACCCAGGTCTCTAAGACCAACGCTAATCTGCCTTCTCTTTCAGGTTCCTCAAGAAACAACCTTCCACGGTGTAGGCAGCCGGGAAGTGACAACCGCCCTCATACCCGTAACAGCACACGAGACCAAACTGGTCGAAATGAAATCCTGACTGACTAGTGTGAGTAGTAGTGACAGTAGTAGTATTCGCATAACTAAAGCTTCTTAACTCAATACTCAGTAAAGAAATTTTTTCACTTGATAAATGAATGAAAATCAACGTTAATTGATTGATATCTTACTGATATTTTTTGTTGTTGTTGGAAAAATTCAATTCTACTCTTTCATGTGAGTTTTGTTTTTTTTCTAAAGAAAATCCCCATATCCTTGCTCTACTAAACTTATAATTAATGTGACAGGTCTTTCATTTGCATTACGGGGTTGTGAAGATTGTTAACTTAACATTCTACACAACCCCTGTAATGCAAATAACCTGTGCTCACTAGTGACTAGCTCCGTGAGCAATCTTCTCCGAGTTCTAGTGGGAAGACGTGACTAGTGAAGTTCAACCTGTTCGGGTGTAGGCAATGTCTACCGAAGACTGTGTATGAGGTTGCGCAACTCCGTGAATTTGATCAAGTTAGACATTAACACCGTCAGATACCGGCTCAGTGGTCTAACGGTTAGGGCATTCGCGCACAATACCAAAAGTCCTGGGTTCGAATCCTGCGGGGTGCAGGAGTCGTGGGTGCTCACTGCTGAGGAGTACCACGGCAGGACGGAACGGCCGTCTTTCAGTGCTTCCAGGTTTCTTCTAATGGTGGTCTAACATTGATCGATTCATGGTTTCAAAAAAAGTCTTTCATTGTCTATAAATATGGACTGTATATGACAGATATGTAAATTCATACGGTTCTTCAACTAATTGAAATTATGATATGTGGGCAGTGAAATGAGAATTTAATTCATTGTCGAGTGTAGACACACACATACACAGATCTTTAACCTACTGACGATTAATTTTTATTTGCTCTTATTGATTCCTACTCTGGTGAACTCACTCAGTGTGATTGCCTTTAATTGTGTGCGTGTGTGTACGTGCGTGAGCAATAAAATATAGTCCATTGCTTACTCTGATTCATTATTTTGATCGTCAATTGTGTATATCTGGTTTGACATTGTGATCTAGTCTTCTGTGTGGGGGTTGCCCGGTTTGAGTATCTGATTTCAGTGGTAATATAAACTCGGTCAACCATTTTCATCGCTGTATATAATACAGTGGCGAAAAAGGCATTTAAAGTCTTATGTAAAAAATCAGGTGAATAAACTCGTAATTTTATAATCCCATCATATTTACTGTTATTAACGCACCCATATCTTTGTAGGTAAATTTAACACTATGGAAAACAGTCTATAATAATAATAACTGATCATTGTTTGACCATCATTCAACATCTGGAAGCACTGGGTGGCTGTTTCGTCCTACTACGAGACTCTTCAGTACTACGCATCCACAATCTCTACTCGTGGAAATTACATATTAAGACCATAGGATGCTGGCTTAGTGGTCTAGAGGCTAAGCGTTCGCTGTTGCGAGACCGAAGGTCCTGGGTCCGATTCCAGCGAGCGGGGGTCGTGGATGCGCACTGCTGTAGAGTCTCAAACTAGGATGACAGACAGACAGATACAACGCAGAACTTCGTACGTAAGTACATCAGTTAAGGTTGGCATGGCCCATCAGCACAGAGACGCAATTGTCAGTTCAAATCCAACAGTGATAGCAATAAAAGAATTATTAGCAGTAATGGAGAAGACTAAGGAGAGATATTATTCAAGAAGTATAATTCAGTAAGATAAATTTAGAAGGAAAAAGTTAGAGATTATGAGGAATGCAGAAGCTTAGAATTTCATAGAACACAAAGAGTAGATGCACCTGCGCCACTGCAAACGATTCTGAGCCATGTCGTTCAAGGTCTATAACCATTGGTCACTATCGTCTCGCCGACCCCAAACACGTAGCCTACTTTTATCAACGTGACTCAGTCCATTTGTCAGTAACTTCATGGATTTCTACCATGTTTTGGTTTGGCCGCCCCTAGATTTCTTCCAATCTACTCCTACACCACAAAACATAACTCGTCGAGGCAGTCGGTGGTAAGGCATACGTAACACATGTCCCAACCATCTCGACTGATGAAGTTTCAATACTTCATCTATTGATCTGCCATCCTTAATCAATACTCGTTTCCTAACTATAGCATTGCTCACTCGGTGGTCCCAGGATATACGAGCAATGCTTCGAAGACATCGATGATCGAAGACTAGTAACCTTCGGAAGTCCTCTACTCTTAACGGCCAAGTCTCGCATCCGTACAGTAGGACGGAGCGAACTGCTGCACAGTACACTCGTCCTTTGGTTAGCAAACGGATATCTCGCCTGTGCCATAGGTGACGCAGGTTGACCAAAACCAATCGATCCTTCCGTATCCGTGCTGAGATTTCCTCAGTCAATAGGCCATCGGCGCTGATCAGACTCCCAAGATAAGTGAAGCGGTCTACACGTTCGACTACTTCACTCCCTATCACTAGTTCAGGTGCCGATGCAACCCAGTCTTGAAGCAACATTTTGCATTTCGATGGTGAAAACCGCATCCCGAACATGCTTGCATTGTTGCTTAGGATAGTCAGAAGACTCTGCATTTTGTCAGCGTCTTCACCAAGTAGAACTATGTCATCGGCGTATTCTAAGTCAGTAAGCGAGCCACCTGGTAGAAGGTCTACTGCAGAAAATTCAGATGAGGATAAGGTTATATCTAGTAGCAGTTCTACGATAAAATTAAACAAGAATGGAGAAAGTGGACATCCCTGACGCACACCACTTGAAGTAAAGAATTCCGGTGACAGTTCGCCATAAGCTCTCACTCGACCAGTAATATTCGAGTAGAGGGCTTGTATAAGGTTAATGTTCTCCTTTGGTACACCTTTCAATGACAGACACTGCTACAGAACCTCACGATCAACAGAGTCAAATGCTGCTCTTAGGTCCAGGAAGACAACTATTGTAGGACGCCTAAATGTGTGTCTGTGTTCAAGGACCTGTTGTAGTGTGAAGATGTGGTCTATACAGCCACGTCCAGGTCGAAAACCAGACTGGTTTTCTCGAGTCTGCTCTTCACAAGTTTTCGTTAAGCGTCGAAGTATTATTGAGGCCAATATTTTAGATACTATATTAGTTAGACTTATTTCTCTGTGATCGTCACAAGAGGACGTTTGTCCTTTCTTGTAGATTGGAACAATTAGCTACTGAGACCAGTCAGATGGGATCACGTCCAGTTCCCAGATTCTACCTAAGATCTCAGTCGACCTAGCTGCTAAAAGTGGCCCACCATACTTAAACATCTCAGGGGTCAGTCTATCAGGACCTGCAGCTTGCCCTCGCTTCAGATTTCCTAACCCTTTCTCAACTTCATAAAGACTATGGGGACCTTCGTCGATTTGCCATTCAGGATGACTGCAGATCGTGGGTAACCGAGGAGTGGCTCGAGGCCAGTTGAACTGATCCCTAAAGTGTTCTGATCCATTTACCGGCTGCCTACAACATGGGCGGTTGTTTCTTGAGGGACCTGAAAAGGAAGATAGATTAGTGTTGGTCTTAGAGACCTGGGTGCGTGACCGCAGAGCTCAACGGACAAATGCTTGAGGCCGGTCATGCACGGCCTTTATATGAAAGGTTTTTTTTAGTATTAGCTCCGCTCTTGAAAGCCCTTAGTGGGCACCCTTACTGACGGAGACGGAAATCCGTGAGGTAGGGTGAGGTGTGACATTTTTAGGGTCGGCCTTTTCTAACCCTTCCTTCCTTGTGAAAAGGCAGCATTGCTGCAGATGCTGGTTATCCGAGGGAAACACCTTACTGCTGTCACATCCCTCTGCAGTCAGCAGTACGACTTCGCCCTCAGACCTTGGGTAGCTGCTTTTAGTCGCATCGTTCTCCAATCGACGTGCCTGCTGGCTTGGTAGAACCTTCAGCAACATATGTTCCATCCAGTATAGCTCGATTGGGTCATCACGATAGGCAAGCCCGACCACCACCACGTCAAGGTAGCAGCTACGGTCGGGCAAACTAGGATGAGACGGACGTTCAATGCTTTCGGATTTCTAATAATAGTCTAACAATGATTGATTCATGATTTTTTTTTCCGCCTCATACAATAGAACTGTTTTGACATTTGGTATTGAAAATTCTGATTTCGGTGTTGATTGATAGTTGTTTTGAGTTCCAGATGTTGTTCAACTATAGAAATGCAGCAGCCCTTGCTTTACAGATTCGCACACATATACATCTGCATCAAGTCCACCTTGTTCGTCGTCAGTAATGCTGCCTAAATATGGCAAAAATGTTTACGTCCTACAAAGCATCACCATCAGGAGTGATTTAATTGACACATGTAGTGTTTGATGTATCGGAGAATCTTGCTTTTCCTGTTTGTGTATGTTGAAACCTGAAGCTGCTGCTAGACTGGTCGTATTCCTTCGAATTTGTTGTTGCGTGTGCATGTTCGTAGGTTACTAGTATTCGATCATAGATGTTTAAGAAGCATTGCTCGTATGTCGTGGGACAACCGAGTAAGCAATGCTGTCGTTAGGAGACGAGTACTAGGTAAGGATGGCAGATCAATAGATGAAGTAGTGAACTGCTCATCAGTTGAGGTGGTTGGAACATGCTTTACCTAAGTCTAACCACCGACTGTCTCGACGAGCTATGTTTTGTAGTGTAGGAGTAGGTTGGAAGAAAGTTAGGGGCGGCCAAACCAAAACATGGCACAAATGCATGAAATCACTGACAAGTGGACTGAGTCATGTTGGTAGATGTAGACTACCTGGTTGGGGTCCGCGAGACGAAAGTCACCAATGGTTAGAGACCTTGAACGACATGGCTGAGAATCGTTTGCAATGGCGCACGTTTATCCATTCTTTGAGCTCTCTCAAATCCTAATCTGGATTCGTCAGCACCTCTAACTTTGTCTTTCTAACCTTATCTCACTGAATTATACTTCTTGAATAATATCTTCACAGCCTAGTCTTCTTCATTACCATTAATACCTTTACTATCTTTATCACTATGGGATTTGATTTGACATCTGCGTCTTTGTGCTAATATGGTATGGCAACATGACCTTATGTACATACGTACGTAGTTCTACGTTGCAACTGACTTGCGTGTGCATTTCTAGTAACAATGTTATTTATTTTCTTTACATCTCTCTTTCTCCGCTCACATTATTGATTGTTCTGTTCATTAATTTTCTCTCTATACACAGTTATAAACATGTGAAAACAGCTGCAGATGCATGCGCTATCGATACACTACTCATCACTGACACACTGTTTCGTTCACGTAATCTAAGTGAACGTACTAAATATGTGGAATTGGTCGATCAAGTGAAAGATAATCAAGGCATTGTAAGAATATTTTCTAGTCTACATGTTTCTGGTGAACGTAAGTTTTTGTCTCTTCTCTCCAGTATTACGTATTTTTTATTTGCATTACAGGGTTTGTGAAGATTGTTAATTTACACATTTTTTGAAACCATGAATCGATTACCTGTGCTCACTAGTGACTAGCTCCGTGAGGAATCTTCTCCGAGTTCTACTGGGAAGACGTGACCAGTGAAGTTCAACCTGTTCGGGTGTAGACAGTAACTACTACCGAAGACTGTGTATGAGGTTGCGCAACTCCGTGAATTTGATCAAGTTAGACATTAACGCCGTTAGATACCGGCTCAGTGGTCCAGAGGTTAGGCGTTCGTGCACAATACCGAGGGTGCTGGGTTCGAACCCTGTGGGGTGAAGGAGTCGTGGATGCGCACTGCTGAGGAGTCCCACACCAGGGCGAAACGGCCGTCCAGTGCTTCCAGGTTTCTAATGGTTATGGTCTAACATTGATCGATTCATGGTTTCAAAAAATATTTTTTATTGATTATGTTGCTGAGAACCAAAATCTTGTTACTGTGTGTTACTGGGCTAGGATCGGCTCCATGGATGATTACATCGAAGCAGATAGTTTTTTTTTTAAGGAGGGCACTCCTCTCAAACCTTTGACTCGAAAGTGGAGCAACGTAAATGATGCAGTCCAATGATAGCCGGTAGCCTATAATAACCTCATACGCCATTAGTTCTGTCAGGATTCTGGAGCTGATGTGCACTATTGGTTTAGAGTCAGGGTTTTCCGAACCCCCCCGCCTTTAGGTGAATCCTCCATACCCACTAATCCAGTCGAAGCGCCAGACACTCGCTTTATGCTCTCTCTCAGTTTTGTTTGTTAATAACATCCCCTGGCCATGAGAAGGCAGTGACGAAGACCTGACCTGACCTTGGCTACACACACGTGACCATATGACAGCATTTCGAGGAGAGCGGACTTTTGGCTGTATGAGAGCATTTTCACTATCATAAACTAACTCATTTTTTATTACCTATGTTGTAATCTTCGTCTAACCCCCAGTATTATTTATGCTATGGTTCTCCCACCCCCTGTATTGAATTGACGATTCCATCTATCTGTATCCGAATGTGGTATAGCAACGTGAACTGATGTACGTACGTACGTACGTATGAAGCTCTACGTTGTTTGTTGACTGACTATTCTGAATTTATCTATCAAAAAATACGTCGGAACATTTCATTTTCAATTACCAGAGTGTGTAATAACAGTTGATTTTTTTCGGTTTCAATGTAGTGTGATCTTTTCAATTAGAGTTATGGTGATCAATGTTTTTACACACTGAAATCATCAGTAGTCAATCATTGAAAAAATCGTACAACGTGCTTACTATTGGTTAGCTTCGTGAGGAAATTCTCGGAATTCTGGTGAGAAGACGTGACCAGTAGAGTTCAACCCTATCGGATGTAAGCAGTCAGTCAGTTGCAACGTAGAACTTCGTACGTAAGTACATCAGTTCATGTCGCCATACCACATCAGCACAGAGATATAATTGTCAATTCAAATCCAATAGTAGAAGAGGTATTAAAAGTATTAGAAGTATTCGGAGAGGTTAGAATTAGAAGATATTATTCACGAAGTATGATTCAATGAGATAAGTTTAGAAAGTAAAAACTAGAGGTGTTGAAGAATCCAGAAGTTTAGGATTTGAGAGAACACAAAGAATAAATGCACTGGCGCCATTGCGAACGATTTTGAGCCATGTCATTCAAGGTCTCTAACCATCGATTATTATCATCTCGCGGACCCCAACCAGGTAGTCGACAATTACCGACATAGCTAAGTCCACTCGTCAATGACTTCATGGATTTATGCCATGTTTTGGTCTGGCCGCCCCTAGCTTTCTTCCAACCTATTCCTACACTACAAAACAAAGCTCGACGAGGCAGTCGGTGGTTAGGCATACGCAACACGTGTCCCAACCACCTCAACTTTTTGGAGGAGGTCCGAAAGCTTTCTGTAAAACTCATCCTTAACCTCGTCTCAACTGCATTCAGTGGGGGCATAGGCAGATATGACGAAGAGGCAACGGCGATTGTCCCTATCTTTCCGAGTCCTTACTGTCCCGTTTAGTCGGACAGCGCACAATCGACTATCTATTGGGATCCAGTCAAGGAGAGATTGTTCTGCCCTACGACTCAATGCTATACCTACACCGGCGAGGCCCCTAGAAGCAGCATCAGGGCTACCGGATACACGAAGGGTAAATCGAGCTGCTTCTTTATCTTGACATGGTGAGGTCAAATGAGTAATGCTACTCGGATCCTGTATGCGCGTTTCCGAGACGCAGCACACATCGATGGAACGAGATTCTAAAGTCCTAGCTAAGGAAGCCTGTTGCCCTATTTGACACAATGTCCGTACATTAAATGCTCCAACATGTAGTCTAGAGCGAGGTTTAAGGAGACCAGGAACGACGTTTCGCGAACTCGTATCGTCTGCATTAGCTGTGCACCGTTATGAATGAATGTGAGAAGAGTTAGTCGTGGAGATCAGAAAGGTACTAGGGGGTGTAGGAAGTATTTGATTTTGACCGATTCGGTATCGCGTGCTGTTATGGGTATGAGGGCGGTTGTCACTTCCCGGCTGCCCACACCGTGGAAGGTTGTTTCTTGAGGAACCTGAAAAGGAAGGTGGATTAGTGTTGGTGCGTGACCGCACAGCTCAAGGGACAACTGCTTGAGGCCGGTCACGCACGGCCTTTTTATGAAATGTTTTTTGAGGATTAGCTCCGTTCTGAAAGGCCCTTAGTGGGCACCCTTACCGTCGGAGACGGAAATCCGTGAGTTAGGGGACGTGTGACATTTTTAGGGCCGACCTTTTCTAACCCTTCCTTCCTTGTGAGAAGGCAGCATCGCTGCAGATGCTGGTTGTCCGAGGGAAACACCTTACTGCTGTCACACCCCTCCATCACAGTCAGCAGTACGACTTCGCCCTCAGACCTTGAGTAGCTGCTTTTAGTCTCATCGTTCTCCAATCGACCTGTCTAGCATGGTAGAACCTTGAGGAACATATGTTCCAGCCAGTACAGCTCGGTTGGGTCATCACGATAGGCAAGCCCGACCACCACGTCAAGGTAGCAGCTACGGTCGGGATGTAAGCAGTAACTACCAAAGATAAATGGGGTGAAGTTGCGCAAAAAATCACTAGACTGATCAAAGTTAGATATTAACGCGATTGGATACCGACCCAGTGGTCCAGAGATTAGGCGTTCTCGTGCAAGACGGAAGGTCCTTGGTTCGAAGCAATGCTGTTGTTAGGAAACAGGTGCTAGGTAAAGATGGCCGGTCACTAGATGAAGTATTGAAACTCTATCAGATGAGTGGGTTGGGACATGTGTTTGCGTATGCCTAACCACCACCGACTACCTCAACGAGCGATCTTGTTTGATATAGGTATAGGTTGGAAGAAAGCTAGGGGCAGTCAGACAAAAACATGGCAGAAATCCATGAAGTCACTGACAAGTGGACTAAGTCATGTCGGTAGTTGTCAACTACCTGGTTGGGACCCGCGAGATGATAATAATCGATGATTAGAGACCTTGAATGACATGGCTCAAAATCGTTTGCAATGGCGTAGGTGCATCCACTCTTTGTGTTCTCTCAAATCCTAAACTTTTTAATTCCTGATCACTTTGTCTTTTTCTTTTTAAGTTTATTTGACTAGATTCTACTTCTTGAATAATAAATATCTTCTAATCACAATCTCTCCGATAACTTCTAATACTTTTACTACCTTTACTACTATGGGTTGTTGAATTGACAATTCGATCTCTCTGTGCTAATGTAGTATAGTATGTCAACTTGGACCGATGTACATACGTGCGTACGAAATTCTATGTTGCTGAATCATCGAATCCTGGGTCCGAATACTGTGGATGCGCATTGCTACTAAATGAGTGTCATACCAAGACGAAACGACCATCTTCTAGGTTTTTCTAACGGTGCTCTACCAATCATTAATTGATTGATGATTTCAATGTGTAATTGTTGTGCATTGTTCTCACTTTGTTTTTGATTTTCTCGTTTTCTTTGAAAATTCTCTTAGAACTTAATCACTTGTCTGGTGTAGCTGCAATATTACGCTTTCCAATACCGGAACCTGTGACAGACGATGATGAATCGGATAGTTCTGAAGAAGATGATAATTAATTAAATTTTTTTAAAAAAAAATCGTTCTTCTTAATCAGAACAATGTTTTTTCTTTCTTATTTGTCATTTGTAATTTTACAACTTGACTTATTGGCGCTGTTGTTTCCATTGACATTTGTTCTGTTCTTTGAACTTGTTGTGAATATTCTCTTCTATTTAGGCAATGGTTTTCTTCGCTCCTGTTGTTGTGTTTTTGGTTTTTCCATTGTTGTTGTACTACTCATTATGAATTGATTGATATGATGTAACTATTACAGTATCCATTTGTGCCAAGTTTTTAGGGGGTTCCTTACACAAATTTATTTGGTTTGTACAAAATGAATACTAAACATTTTCTGTGTTTATGATATCTTACTTAGATTGGAAAAATTATTTCATATTTTAATATATTTTATGTGGAATCGATGTCGATCGCTAGTTAATAACATTGACGAGTAACTTCATAGAAGAAAGTGATCTTATGTAATGTACGTTCTAACCTTCTCGGTCGGATTGACAGTTGTTTGTGTTTGTGTAAAAATAAATAACTCAAACTATTAATGTTCCTGTTTTTTGCCTAGCTATTTTATCAACAAATAGTCAGTCAGTCAGTCAGATGCAACGTAGAACTTCGTAAGTAAGTACATCAGTTCATGTTGCCATACCACATAAGCACACAGATGTAATTGCCAATTCAAATCCAATAGTAGAAGTAACCGGAGAGGTTAGGATTAGGGGATATTATTATTCAAGAAGTATGATTCAGTAAGATAAGTTTAGAAAGACAAAACTAGAGGTGTTGAAGAATCCAGAAGATTAGGATTTGAGAGAACACAAAGAATAAATGCACCAGCGCCGTTGCAAACGATTTTGAGCCATGTCATTCAAGGTCTCACAAACCATCGATTATTATCATCTCGCGGATCCCAACCAGGTAGTCTACATCTACCAACATGACTCAGTCCACTAGTGAGTGACTTCATGCATTTCTCCCATGTTTTGGTTTTGCCCGCCACTAACTTTCTTCCAACCTACTCCTACACTACAAAACAAACCTCTTCAAGGCAGTCGGTGGTTAGGCATACGCAAAACATGTCCCAACCACCTCAAATGATGAAGTTTCAATGCTTCATCTATTGATCTGCCATTCTTACCTAGCACCTGATTCCTAATAACAGTGTTGCTCACTCGGCTGTCCCAGGATATACGAGCAATGCTTCGAAGTTATCAACAAATAAACGTCAGTTTACCAAATTACTAGTTTTCAAATCATCAGAATTAGTAAAACTCCTAAAGTACGTTGGCGCTCTCAGCTATTTTTTTTCACTATTTGTCAAGTTTTGAAAAAATATCCCATCTGGATGGGTTTAACAGCAGCATTCAAAACAGAATTTCCCTACTGATCACTTCCAACCGCCCAAAAATTCCAAATAATTTTAGTGCGCTGTTATTCAAGTTTTCAATAATAAAACCTTGTTTTGTCAACCTCTCTTCACTAAAACTTTATTATCCATTATGAGAAAATTCCAAGAAGATGACATTAAATATTCAAAAATTAATCAGAATAACATGCTACATTTATCAAAACATATCCATTGCAATAATCTCTACTAAGGAAAAGGTGATGCTCGGCATTCTAATCGATTTAGGATAAACTGACCACAAGTGTAGTACATGATCGACACACCGTTCAGTGTTGAAACTCGCGATCGATGAATTTGCACGACTTCGAATATAACACAGTCAAGTGAGAGTAGATGTGCGTTTCAAGGCCTGGTGATATTAAAAAGAATTATTCGAAATACCCAAGGTTGGGTTTATAGTATGTATGTTCAGCTTTATCGGTTCCAGGGTTTTTTCCGCATAACAGTTAAGCGCCAAATGATTACGAAACCTAACATTTTAAAACCACTAGTTGAGCATCTTAGGTGGAATTTTGGAACTGAGCAGCATTTGACTATGTTGATCGTGATGTTCTTTGTCAGTGTCCATCATTGAAAGAAGTACATTAACCCTGTACAGGCTGTCTGCTCGAAGACTGCTGGTGAAGCCAGAGGTTAGAACGAACTGTTTGTCGTAAATGATTACCTCTAGTGGTGTTCATCGGGGCTGTCAAACTCCATTCCTATTCAACTTTGTCGTTGATATGCTTCTACAGACGACACTTTCATCGTCTGACTTCTTAGAGGTTGAACTCCTACCAGGAGATTTGCTTGCTGAATTAGAGTATGTCGATGAAATAGTACTACGTGTGTTTGAAGACGCTAAAAAAAATGCAGTCTTTTGACTACCTTAGGCGAGAATTCAAGAATGTTCGGGTTTGGCTTACTTCGGCCCATGAACTAGTGATAGATAGTGAAGTGGTTGAGCGTATAGACCGCTTCATTTAACTTCATAATCTCATCAGCCCTGGTGGCCTGGTATGTGATGAGGGTTTGACTAGCGCTTTTGACAATCTGTATCATTTATGACGTAGGCGAGATATCCTCCTGTTAACTTACTATTTTGCAGTTACGTGGTAAGATGAATTGACTATTCTAGGGCTGGATGAAATGAAAACCAGTTTCGGCAGCCCATAAGTTCTATGTATCACAGCCTCTTAATTTACCCTGGAGTTCTACATCTTTCAAAGCCTTTACTTAGAATTGTTCGGAATTCCGATTTCGCTAACATTTTAATCTCTAATTCTAATCTTATTACATAACCTGATCAATAATCATATCGTTACTAATTATGTCACGGAGAACAAGACACTTATATTTGCATCCGATTTCAATTCTTAATCATACTGTTGTGTGTGTGGGATTAAAAGCAGCAACTCAAGGTCTGAGGGCGAAGTCGTACTGCTGACTGCAGAGAGGTGTGACAGCAGTAAGGTGTTTCCCTCGGACAACCAGCATCTGCAGCGATACTGCCTTCTCACAAGGAAGGAAGGGTTAGGAAAGGTCGACCCTAAAAATGTCATACCTCACGGGTTTCCGTCTCCTTGGGTAAGGGTGCCCAATAAGGTCTTCTAAACAGAGAGGAGCTAATACTCTAAAAACCTTTAATAAAAAGGCCGTGCGTGACCGGCCTCAAGCAGTTGTCCTTCGGACTCTGCGGTCACGCTCTCAGGTCTCAAAGACCAACTCTAATCCACCTTCCTTTTCAAGTTGCTCAAGAAACACCCTTCCACGGTGTGGGCAGCCGGGAACTGACGTACGCCTCATACCCGTAACAGCACGCGAGACCAGATTAGTCAAAATCAAGTCTTTCCTACACCCTCTATTATCTCCCTTATCTCCACGACTAACTCTATTCACATCCCTTTATCTCCCCGCACCTCTGCTACAAACGATGCGAGTTCATGAAACGTCATTTCTGGTATCCTGAAACCCCGTTCTAGACTACATGTTGGAGCTTCTAATGTACGTACATTATGTCAAATAGGGCAACAGGCTTCATTAGCTAGGACTTTAGAATCTCGCTCAGTCGATGTATGATGCATCTCGGAAACGCGCACATAGGATCCTAGTAAAGTCATTAATCTGATTTCGCCTTATCAAAACAAAGAAGCAGCCCGATTTACTCTTCGTGTATCTGGTAGCCCAGATGCTGCTCTCGGGGACCCACTGGTGTAGGTATAGCATTGAGTGACAATGAAATACACCTTGATGGATGTTGTGGTGTCGCGGCCCAGAGAACAGGTAATCGCGACCTTCTGTTGCAGCTATGCTCAGATAACCGCCTATTTCTAGCAAACACTAATTTTGAACATAAGGCAAATCATCTTTTGACCTGGCGACCCCCAAGGTCATTTCAACGTTGAGCGCAACTAGATCATATCGCCATCAGCCACCGATGGAGGGGTTCGATAGAGGACTGTCGCTCGTTCTGGGGCACATGTTTAGATTCAGATCATGCCCTAGTGCGAGCTCGTATTTGTTTGAGGCTCACTGGACCTAGGAAAGACACCGTAAACAGTCAGTCAGTCAGTCAGTCAGTTGCAACGTAGAACTTCGTACGTAAGTACATCAGTTCATGTCGCCATACCACATCAGCACAGAGATATAATTGTCAATTCAAATCCAATAGTAGAAGAGGTAGTAAAGGTATTAGAAGTATTCGGAGAGGTTAGAATTAGATATTATTATTCAAGAAGTATGATTCAATGAGATAAGTTTAGAAAGTCAAAACTAGAGGTGTTGAAGAATCCAGAAGATTAGGATTTGAGAGAACACAAAGAATAAATGCACTGGCGCCATTGCGAACGATTTTGAGCCATGTCATTCAAGGTCTCTAACCATCGATTATTATCATCTCGCGGACCCCAACCAGGTAGTCGACAATTACCGACATGGCTAAGTCCACTCGTCAATGACTTCATGGATTTCTGCCATGTTTTGGTCTGGCCGCCCCTAGCTTTCTTCCAACCTATTCCTACACTACAAAACAAAGCTCGACGAGGGAGTCGCTGGTTAGGCATACGCAACACGTGTCCCAACCACCTCAACTGATGAAGTTTCAGCAGTTCATCGATTGATCTGCCATTCTTACCTCGTACGCGTTTCCTAATAACAGCGTTGCTCACTCGGGTGTCCCACGATGTACGAGCAATGCTTCGAAGACATCTATGATCAAAACCAATAACCGACGAGTATCTTCTACTCTCATTGGCCATGTTTCACAGCCATAAAGTAAGACGGAGCGAACTACTGCGCAGTACACTCGTCCTTTAGTCAGCAAACGGATATCTCGCCTACGCCATAAGTGACGCAGGTTGGCAAAAGCCAATCGAGCCTTCTGTATCCGAGCTGAGATTTCGTCAGTCACCAGGCCATCGGCACTGATGAGACTCCCAAGATAAGTGAAGCGGTCTACACGTTCGACCACTTCACTACCTATCACTAGTTCAGGTGCCGATGCAACCCAATCTTGAAGCAACATTTTGCATTTCGAGGGGGAAAACCGCATCCCGAACATGCTTGCATTGTTGCTTAGGGTAGTCAGAAGACTCTGCATTTTGTCAGCGTCTTCACCAA